CTGCGGCGGCCGGGCACCGCGGCCTGCCGGGCCGTGGCCACCGCCACCAGCTTGCCCACAAAGACGGCCTCGTGAAGGCCAGGCTCAGCCTGCGGGGCTCAGCCTGCGGGGCACAGCGGCGCCGTCCCGGCCCTGGGCGGCCGCCTGGAGGGGCAGGGGCCGCCTGAGCTCGGTCCCCCTGTAGGGCAGCCTGTCAGTCTGGGCAGCCTGTCGGTGGCGTCAGGGAAGAGCCGGCCGAGTTAGAGAAGCGGGTTAGTGCCCTGGCACACCGGAGCCCAGGCGGGCAGCACGGGTTAGGGAAGCTTCAGCAGCGGACACCAGTCAGCATGGCAGGCTCTCGGCTGGGGCGGACAGCCGCAGCGGGGTCAGCAGAAGCGGCCGTGGGGGCGGCGGCGGGCGCGGTACTTACCCCGTTCCACTCTACGCTCATACTCACTTCCTCGCCGCCATCGGGGCCGCTCTCGTACTTGACCACGTCCGAGTTCAGGCTCTCGCGGCTCCTCCGCTTCTCGGCGCTCTCGGGGTCGTTGAGCACTTCGGCCACCCTCTGTTTGTGAACAGTGTCAAGACCCTGTGAGCCAGGGGGAAAACGCGGCCCGTTAGCTCTCGGGGTGGCGCAGGCATCCACTCAGACCCGCTGACACACTGCGGTTCCTCTGGGAGGGGCTTCGGAGTGCTCAGAGACCTCTGACCTCAAGTCCACCGACCGCAAACACCAAGCTCCAGGTAACAGTGCCAAACTAAGTATCTGGAAGGAGGTTGGTGTGCGGAGGCTATACGAGATCCCAAGCTCCTCAGAAAAAACGTAAACAAGTTAAGGCCTGGTGATTACTGGAGCCGAATCCCACACGGCCAAGCACCCAGTCCAAGGCCTGGCCTTGGAGTCTTGGAAACCATCCCAGGTGCGTGTGTGTCCAAACTGCAGACAATATGGGAAAGGAGAAGATGCCACAGCATGGCCACGCCCCACCGGGGGTGCTCTCTTCTATCTCTCTGTCTCTCTCTCCTGAAACACACGCCCTCTTGCAGTACAACAAAACAAAACAAAACGAAAAGAACTGCTGGTGGGGCCAGAAGGTGGCACAGTGGTTAAAGCACTGGACTCCCACATGACCGACCACGGTTCAAGTCCTGGGCCTGATGCCTGCTTTCTCGCTCCATGTCCCTTCCCCACAGTCCTCTCTACTGAGCACGAATGCCTTGCAGTAAACTGGAAAATAATAATAAATTAAAGAATGCTTTTGGAGGGACCAGCAGTTAGCGTAATGGCTATGTCGATGGACTCCCACGTAGTCAACCGCGGTTTGTGTCCCGGACCCAGTGGCTTAAAACTCACGCCGGGCGCGTGTGCGTGCGTGCCCAAGATCCCGAGAGGAGAATGGAGGAGAAGGGATTGCGGCGTGACCATCCCCCCCTAGGGGGTGATTTCTCGTTTTCTATCTCTCTGTCTGTCTCTGTCTGTCTGACGAGCGCACACGCCCTACAGTGAAAACCTCTCAAAAAAAAAAAAAAACACAAGAATCACTGGGTGGCTGGTGGGGAGGGCGGAGCGCGACCTGCGTGGTGAGCAGCGGGTCCGCCATGTAAGACTCGCCCCACCTCTCTTCAGGTTTGGCGAGTTTCCTAAGAAGATGCCAGAAGAAGGCCGCTTCTACACTCACCCCTAGTGTTTCTGCTTCTAAAAAAGCACACGGTGGGAAACTCACAGGGTCCTTCCATCTCAATGTAATGTTTTTAAACGCTAGCCACTAAGTACCAAAGACCTTTTAGGAGCAAACTTTCACTTTTACAAAGGGACAGGCAGCTGGCAGTGCAGCAACACTGACCTCACCCAGACTCGAGTGGAAACCTAACACAGCACAGCGGTTAAGGTGGCTGGATCCCACATGGCTGACTGCAGAGTTCAAGGCCCCGTATGCGGCAGCTTGATAAACAGGCCAGGCACACGTACATGTGTGCCCAAAATCTCAAAAGGAGGGAAAGGTGGAGGGGAGGGGATTGTGTACAATCCACCTCATTGGGGGTACTTCTTGTTTTCTCCCCCTTTCTCTGTCTCCGCAAGCACATACCCTCTGGCAAAATTTAAGGGGGAAAAGAAAAAGTACCAGGAGGAACAGGCCGGGCTGGTGTTGAGCTGAGTCTGAGCAGGACAGACGCTCATGCAGGGCGGGCTTTGAGCTCTGGTGCAAGGGCACCAAGTCAGCAGGTGGCGACCAACCGGGCGTGCCTCGCTAACTCAGGCCAAGAGTCCAGGACCAGCCCATAGCCCCGTAAGAGAACTGGATCCCACGTGGGCAACTGCAGTCTGAGCCCCAGCCCTGGAGGCTTGACACACACTCGGTGGGCCGCCAAGCGGCATGGTGGTTAAGGGCGACGGACTCCCACATGGCCAACCACGCTTCGAGTCCTGGACCCAGTGGCTTAAACTCACGCCGGGCATGTGTGCATGCGTGCGTGCCCAAGATCCCGAGAGGAGAATGGAGGAGAAGGGATTGCGGGATGGCCAACCCCCCTGGGGAGTGGTCTCTCACTTTCTGTCAAGCGCATGCACCCTATAGCAAAAAACTCTCAAAATAAAAAAGCTGTCAGGATGCTTGAAGACATGGTGGTCGGTTGGCGAGAGGGCAGGTGAGTGCGGTGGAGGAGGCAGCACTTCGTAGCCTGGACGGTTCACCTTGCGAAGCGCTGGCCGGGTGCTGACCAGTGCCAGCTGCAGGCAGCGCGGTGCTCGTGCGTCCGGTCGATGTCGACACACTTCTCAGGTGACGGTTCCCCGGGAGTCAGAAGGCTGCAGGGGTCAGAGCCCACCACACAGTGACCACGACCTTTCTTGGTGCAGGTTTGGCTTTGGGAAACGCTTTGGAGCCTCTCGGTCCAGCCACTGAGCTGGTGTCCCCGTCTGTCATCTAGAATCCACTTGTCATGGCATGTCACAGTCCTACGGGGAAATGGCCTGTTGCTGTCACAGGGAGTAAGAGAAGAGGCACTTCCGAAGAATGTTCTGGGGCACCCCGCCGGTGTTCGCACTCTGCGGTCTGCGTCGGGCCCGGAGCCCCACAGTGGCCAGCATGAGGTTTTCGGCCATTCTCGTGCAGCGGGAAGAGGGCCAGCTGCAGAGATCGCGCCACCGGTCACTTCGGCTCCGCTCCTCATCCTCGAGGCTCTCTTCCCGCTCCCTTGTGAAAGCGCCATGTGCTCCTCCACAGTCCCTGGGCCAAAGCGCTGTCCCCATGGCTTTATGACCCCTTTGAACTCAACTAAGAAAACTGCTCGAATTTGCTTTTTGTCTGACATCGTTTCTACAGTCTAAGATAAATAGCAGATTGCTACCAAAAAAAGCCAGAACCGCACGTTAGATGACGTGCACCACAGCACACCTGACAGTACCCAGCACCAAACGGCAGGCTGCGACGGTCCCAACCCGCAGTCCCCTCCACTCCACTCTGGTACATTTAAGGACAGAAGCGACATGCGCCTGACGGGGCCCGTCCTCCACGTGTACTCCATGCAGTCCGATGACCAAGGCCCAGGGTTTCGCACTGAGCAGGATCTGGACACAGGCTTCGTGAAGCTGGCGCGTCTCCCAGTGTCTATGGTGCCGGCGCAGACCAGGGCGCTGGACCCCAGAAGCACAGGTCCCCGGCCCAGCCCCGGCCCAGCTGGTGGGGGCGTTCCCAGGCAAACACTGCCATTCTGGTGGCCCGGGGCACAGCACCGCAGCATGTCACCGGGAGCACAGGGGACCCAGGCTGTGTCCACGGTCTCCTCATCCCAACGGCCAGCCCACCAGGGGGCCCCTGAGAAGGTGCCCCAGCAGCCCCCTAGTCTGGAGCCCTGGCTGGAGCGCCAAGGACAGGGCCGATGGAGAGAGGCTGCAGGCCCCGTCCAGGCAGGGCCAGCCTGCGCTGCTCTCCTCTAAGCTCTCGGGGGCGAGTTTTAAGGCGAAAGTACTAAGACGGGCCAGGCCCTGGCACAGCAGTCACGCACTGGAGTCACATGGGAAAGGGGTTGGGCTCACATCCTGGGACCTCCCTAAGCCCACGGTCCTGGTGAGCAGACGCCGGGTGGGGATCGCGATGCGAGGACATGCCGGGGATGCCCCGCTGCCGGCCTCTGTCTCTCATGAAGAAAGAGATGAGAGTTGTGAAAAGCACACCGATCTGTTACCTATGCTGGCCTTGAACCCACAGCCCTCCTGCCTCGGCCTCCACGGAAGACGGGACCACAGGCACGTGGCACTGCTCCTGGCTCCTGGGCTATGCCAAGAATCAAACCCAGACCTTCGCCGTGGCTGTGGGCAGCTGAAGAGCTGGTTGTAGCGTGAGCTCCCGGAGCAGCCCAGGGGCAGCTGCAAGGCCAGCCGGCCACCACGTCGGCCCACGCCGGCCCTCCACCCCAGCATGGGGCAGGACAAAAACTGCACGTGTGTGTAAACCTGCGCAGAGACACAGCAACGCTCGCCCCCACACACGCTTCCTCCCTCAAAAGGTGAGCTGTGCACGTGTCACCACGCACACGCGCTGAGCCTTAGGGTCCGCGGCACTTCCGTCAGCTCCCTGAGCAGGACGCTCTCTACAGCCCCTCCCCGCCCGGCACGCATCTGGTTATCGGCCAGTTTCTCCTCTTTCTTTAATTGCCAGAGGATGTGTGCAAAGGGAAGGATTAGGCGCTTTTCCTGTCCTGCTCTAAGCTGTATCTCGGCTGACAAGCCTCGAGCTGATAAAGAAAAGTGGTTCTTGACAGATTTCAAACTAATACATCCCAACTAGTAACCGAACCCCATCTGTGTCGGCCTCCTGACGGCAGCGCAGGCCCCACTGCACGGCCACAGGAGCGCCGGCGCGGCGGGGGAGGGCACGCGTGGGCGACGGTCTGCACGGCTCGATGACCTTCCACGGCACGGACACACTGCACTCTCATCCCTTCACCCCTCCCTGTTCACGTTCACTTTATGAGAGGAACAGAACGAGCCCTCCGACGAGCCCCGCCGCTCTGCCATCTCCCCCCAGCCTTCTAGGGTGCCCGCACGCCAGTGCTCAGAGGCTGAGAGCCCCGGGGCCCGCCCCGTGGCGGCGGGGGCCGCTGCTGGACACGGTGTGGGCACAGGGCTCGCCGTCTGCCTGGGACCTGCAGCCCGCCTGCTCAGAGCCCCCCTGACGCCAGCACCGAGCAACGCACACTCGCAGACGGCAGGAAGCCCGAGCCGCCTCGTCCCGGCTCTCCGAGAACACGTGCCCACACTGCCTGGCCTGTTCAGTGACTCGGGCGAGCACCCCCCGCGAATCCGGGCTCCCCGGCACGTCCAGGGCCCCTCACACGCAGCTGTGACTGACTCACGGAGAACACAGCCGTGTCAGGGAAGTTCCGCGCGGGCAGGACGTGGGGCTTCAGGGTCAACAGGTCAGAGCACCCACCGGACATCTTTAAACAGAAACACACGAAGGCAGCTCCCGGGAGCCTCACCGTCTCCTCGCAGGGACGCGGCGGTCACCAAAACTCAGTGCTCACGCTGGTGCCCCAGGACCACCTAGAGCAAGGACAGGCTATGCTCCGAGGGCGCAAGGTCAGTGTCTGGGGTCCACACCCAAGCGTGGGCGAGCCGGGTCAGGCGGTAGTTCCCAGTTCCACCTCACTCTTCTTGAGAGGTGATTGCTGTAGGGCGTGCGCACTCACCAGAGACAGAGACAGAGACAGAGACAGAAAGCGAGAAATCACCCCGGGGGATGGCCACGCCGCAATCCCTTCTCTTCCATGTTCCTCTCGGGACTTTGGGCACACACACCCTCGCACCCGGCACCGAGGGTTTTGTCCCGTTTGTTTTTGAAGAATTATTTTATTGAACTTTATTTCTTATTTATTTTAATTTGATGAGAGAGGGACAGAGAGAGAGAAGGGAGGAAAGTGAGAAAGCAAGGCACCAGGCCCGGGACTCGAACTGCAGTTGGTCACGTGGGAATCCAGCGCCCTTAGCTACCACACCACCTGCCAGCCCATTTGTGTTTTAGAGACAGAGCCTTTTGCTATAGGGCGCAAGTGCTTGCTAGAGAGAGAGAGAGAGATCTCCCCTAGGGGATGGCATGGCTCAATCTCTTCTCCATTCATCTCTCAGGATTTGGGGCACACACATACACACACCCAGCATAAGTTTCAAGCTGCCAGGCCCAGGACTCGAATCATGGTCAACCATGTGGGAGTCCAGCGCCTTAACCACTATACCACCTGCTGGCCCTGCCAGAGGGTACGAGCCCTAGGCTGTCTGTCTCCACGGTGGCTGCACCACTGCACATCCCACCAGCAGTGAGGGCTTCAGCTTTAGCTCCACGAGGCTGGGGCTCTTCTGCTGTCCTGTCGTCCGTCACCCCGTCTCCCCAGGGCTGAGGTCGTATCTCACTGTGGTCTCCACTGGCAGCCCGGGAGCTCATATTGCCGAGGGTCTCTCCGCGAGCCTGTGGGTCACCTGCACCGACGGCGTCCGTCCACTCGGGCCTGCGGCTCGGTTCTTTACTGGGGTCGCTGCCTCCCTCTCCATCCGTGACCTAGTGCCCCTCTCTCAGGCACATGACTACTGGGATGCTCTGGCCCTCTGTGAGTGTCCCCTCATTTTCCTCCCTTGCTTCCCTAATTGCCAGGGGGGGGTGTGCACTCACCACACAACAGGGAAGACGCGGGGGGGGGGGGTTAAAAAGGTGGTTTTTAAAAAGTTTGTACAAGCTAAAATATTCAAGATTTCCTACATTTTTAAAAAAATAATTACGTATTTATTGAATTTCGTCATTATTATTATTTAATTTGACCAGACAGAGACAGAGAGAGAGAAAGAGAAAGGAAAAGCAAAAGAGCAAGCCACCAGGTCTGAGACTCGAACCATGGTCGACCATGTGGGAATCCAGCGCCTCTAACCACCACACCACCTGCCGGCCCAAGATTTCCTACTTTTAAATCAAGCAGTCGACACGAACGGCACTGGAGAATCACTGCCGTCCTCGCTCCTGCGCTAACGTGAGGCATCCACCTGACTCACCTGCTTTCGTGACCTCATGGCAGCTTCTTCTAGCGTTTCTGCAGCTTCGAACTTGCCCTGGCGTCTGTAAAGTGCTCCGAGGTTCTTTAGCGTGGTCGTAACAGTCGGGCTGTGAGAAAGCGTGGGCGACCGTGAGCGACGGCAGGCCACCCCGAGGGCCAGAGGCACACAATGTGGCCAGGACGTGCCGAGCTTTCCGTGGCACTTGTCTTAACTGGAATTCTTCTTGTTATTTTAAAACATCTTTTTAAATCAATTTGCCAGAGGACAGGTGCACTCCCCAGAGAGACAGACAGAGGGTAAGAAAGCACCCCCCGTCCCCCCTGGAGAGATGGCCACACCACAATCCCTTCTCCTCCATTCCACCCTTCAGGATTTTTGGCGCACACACACAGGCATCTGGTTCGATCTTCAAGCCACCGTGTCTGGGATGTAAACCATGCAGGTGGCCGTGTGGAATGTAGCTGACTGAACGCCATGCCACCAGCCCACCCCTTAACTGGACAATTCTGAACAGTCTGTCCACCGCCCCAGGCCTATGCCAGTCCAACGCCTCCTACAGGCAGCTCTGGGCTGAGCTGCTGACGCACTGGGACCTAAGGTTACTGTCCCCATTCTCCCAGGGGGAAGAGCAGGTGCAGCTGGAAGCTCATTGTCAGGGGGGCTGCTGTCAGAGGCTCTCGGCCCACCAGCCCACTGACAGTGAGGTTCCAGATGGACCTGCTCTTCCCCCTGCGAGAATGGGGACAGTAACCTTAGGCCCCAGTTCTCCTCTACAGACCAGATGCTCGGCCTCCGCTCCACAAGGTGGAGCACACCGTCAGCCCAGCCCGAGGGTGCACGAGTCGGGGCAGGCAGTGTAGCACTGCAGTCACAGACGACCCAGCTTCCTCTGAATACAGACATGTCCTTTAAGAGGTCTTTGCCCGGGGCCGGCAGGTGGCAGGAAGGGGAAGGAGGACTCTCCCCAGGGAATGTGTCTTTGGGCATCCTGGGGAAAGCTCCTGACAGCCGGCCCAGGGACGCCGAGGCCGCAGGGCAGGGGCTGGCGCCCAGCTTGGCCCACCTCAGGGTCTCCAGGCTCTGCGGGTGAGCGGGAGCCCGCAATAACTGTCAGGGGACAAGGCGGGGCTGAAGGCCAGTCGCCACTGCCCTGGGCGAGACAGATGGTGGATTCCGGAGCACGTGGGTCACCCCTGGAATCTGGGAAGACCAGGGGCCTCACAGCCACGGGGGCCCCCTCAGGCGGTTCTGCGGAGCACACCCCCTGCCCGGCCGACTCACCTGTCCACCTTGCAGGCCTTGTACCAGCCGCCATACTCGCCAAACGGGGCCCCGTCCTTCTGCTTTCCCTAAACGGCAATGAAACCTCCCGTGAGCAACGGCCGGACGAGCACCCGCCCTGCAAAGCTTGGCGCGGCGCCTTCTCACCTTGCACTCCTCCCTCTCCTCGGCATGCATCCAAATGGGTTTGTTCTCATCTGGGGAGGAAAACAGCGTCAACACAAGTGCAGCGGAGCCCCTGAGCAGGGCGGGCGCCGAGGCTCGCCGGCTGGGACCCTCTTCCTTCCTGTGGGACCCTTCTTAAATGTGCTTCATCCAACGCAGAGTTCGCACTACAGATGGGGCTGGACCCCAGCCAACTGTGGCCGCCCACACCTGGCCCTGCGGACACGTTGTATGGGGCCAGCAGGTGGCATGGCGGTTAAGATAGTTGAATTCCACGTGGCTGGCTGTGCGGTTCCCGCGCTAGACTCAGCAGCTTGCAAATTATGCTGGGCGCACGTGGTTTCTTTGTTTTTGTTTTGTTTTTAAATACAGATTTTGCTACAGTGCGCATGCGCTCCTGGGGAGCCAGAGACACAGAAAGAGAGAAATCACCCGCTGGTGGGATAGCTAGCCACACTACTCCTGTCTCTATCCTCCTCTTGGGATTTCGGGCACACGAGCACATGCCCGGAGTGATCCGTGGTGTTCTGAGTGCAGCACTTGGCTCACCACACAGGACTGCGGACAGGCAAACAGGTCGCACCTGCTGGCCTCTGCGACCAGCCTGTGGTCGGGCACCTCACACATCAACGACTGCTAGCACGTCAGACAGGATGAGTGAATGAGTTTTAAATGTGTTGTCAAAGAGTAAATCAAGGCCAGCCAAGTGACACAGTGGTTAAGGTGCTGGATCGCACATGGTCAACCGCACAGTTCGAGTCTTGACCCCTGGTGGCTTAAAAAATCACGCCAGGTGCGTGTGCGTGTGAGTGCCCAAGATCCCAAGGGAACAGACGAGAAGGGATGGGGGTGTGGCCAGCCCCCGTGAGGTGCTTCCTCACTCTGCCTAGCATTCTCTCTCTCTCTGGCGAGTATGTGTGCTCTAAAACCAAATTAAAAAAAAAAAAAAAAAAAGAGTGAGCAAATAGCATTAAAAACTTACTGGGACCAGCAGATGGCATAATGGTTACAGACTGGACTCCCACATAATTGACGCCAGTTCAAGTCCCAGACCCAGTGGCTTACAACTCACGCCAGGTGCACATGCGCGCATGCCCAAAATCCTGAGAGGAGAAGAGGGGATTGCGGCGTGGCCATTCCCCTGGGGAACGATTTCTCACTTTCTGTCTGTCTGTCTCTCCGGTGAGTGTACACGCCCTACAGCAAAAATCTCCCCCAGTAAATGCCTAACCCTGGTGTTTAGCGTGCTTTTAGGCATACTCACTAAGCAGATTCTTTTTTCTCTTTTATTAAGATTGCCAGAGGGTGTATGTGCTTGGCAGAGAGAGGAAGCACTCCCTAGTGGGGCGGACCACTCTGCAACCCTTCCACCGTCTCCCAGCCCGCAGGACCTCGGGCACACGCACACGTGATCCAGCATGCTCTTCACAGCCCAGGCTGGGACTCCAGCCGCCGGGCGGGGTCCAGCTCCCCACGCAGCACGCCGAACCACTGCGCCTGCCAGCTTCTACGGAACACTCCTCTGGGGAGCTTGCTGCCCGAGTCTGCCAACCCAGGTCCCCGGGCTCCATACAGAATGCCAGTGTTGTGCTGAAGCTCAGGGAGAGGGCTGGCTGTCCGGGCCTTCGCGCCCGCGTGGAAGAGAGATGCCCGCACCCGAGAACTGCCCTTAACAAGGACCCAGCCACCTGAGCCTACGCTGCCTTAGAGAAGTGCAGCAGCCGCAGGGCGGCCCAGAGCAGCTGCGAGAAGCAGCACTAAGAGGCGGCCTGCACCCTGGCCCCCAGAACCGGCGAGGCCGTGCTGTCAGGCAGGATGGGGAACCTCTAAGCCATGTGGCTCCAGGCAGCATCCGCCCACCCTGCCACACGGCCGCGGAGAGGAACGGCTTACAGACACGCGACGCTGTGGGGGCAAGGGGTTCCTGCTGGACCCCCCACAGGCTGCGGCACCACCTGAGTGCCCCCGTGGGCGTGACGCCACAATCCCTGCCCCATATTCCTGTGTCGGGATTTAGGGCACGCAGATACACCTAGCACACTTTTCACACCTCCAGGGCCCAGCTGGCCACGTGGGACCCAGCCCTCTTAACCACAGGCAGCAGAGCCAGCTCTACTGGCCTGTTTACTGGGAGAGGAGAGGCATCCTTTGTAAGAGTCTTCAAAGTGTTTTTAGGAACTCTCCAAGAAAGAAAAACCTTACGCCTCTCCCCACCAGCCTTCTCAGCCGAGCGGTGTGCACGTGGGGTCCTGCATGCTGCTCTCCAGGACACAGGGCCATGTGCCAACGCCCCCACCCCAAGGCTGACTGTCACGCCTGGCTACACCGGCACGTGAGACATGCGGTGACCACGGGGCTGGGGAAACCGGCGGGCCTGACTGGCAGGTTGAGCAAAGCAGCCCAGATTCGATATGCAACTGAGCACGCTAGAAAAACTGCAGGTTGGGACCAGCAGGTAGCGTAATGGCTATGTCGCTGGACTCCCATGTGGTCGACCACAGTTCGAGTCCCGGACCCAGTGGCTTAAACTCACGCTTGGGTGCGTGTGCGTGCGTGCCCAAGATCCCGAGAGGAGAATGGAGGAGAAGGGATTGTGGCGTGACCATCCTCCCTGGGGGGTGATTTCTCGCTTTCTGTCTCTCTGTCTCTCTCTGTCTTTCTAGCAAGCGCATGTGCCCTACAGCAAAGAGCTCTCCAAAACAAAACAAAACAAAAAAGGCAGGTCGTCTGCTCAGCCGGCCAGGCGTCCCTCCCCACGGCATGACACAAGGGCAGCCACTCAAACCAGGGCTATGGCGGCTGCGGTGGCAGTGAAAACGCTGGCCTGAGACGCTGAAGCCGGGTCAGAAGGGCCTGGGTGGTGGCCCTAGATCTCCCAGTGCACCCTGGGCACAGGCACGGGGGCTGGGGCAGGCCCGTCAGGGGCCTCTGCGTGTGTGTGTCTCTCTCTCTCGGGGAAGAGAGAAACTTCTCACGAAATGAAAAGGTAGCGCGCTCCTTACCGTCTACAGACCCGAACTCCCTTTCGTGCGCCCGAGTGAGGATCTCTTTGTAGAGTGTCTCTGCTTGCTTGAACTTCCCTTGTTTCAGATAGCAGGATGCCTTAAAACAGACCGAAGCGGTCAGCGTCTCCCACGCCAGCGGGCTCCCGCCAGGCCCCACCCCACAGGGGCGCCCACGCCCACCAGGTTGTTCTTGGTCTTGGCCACGTTGGGGTCGTCGGGCCCCAGCTTGGTCTGGTAGATCTCGAGGGCCCGCTGGTAGTAGTACTCCACCTCCTCGTACTTGCCCTGGTTCTGGCACAGCAAGGCCAGGTTGTTCAGCTGCTTGGCCACGTCAGGGTGGTCCTTCCCCAACACCTGGGGGAGAGCCGTGTTGCAGGGACACTTGTTTTGCCACCACTCGACCCGCTCTCCACCCCACTGCTGGAATGCTCTTCCCAGGGCACACTGGTGCCTCAGTGCTTAAGGCAGCTGGATCCACATGACCGACCACATGGTTTGAGTCCTAGACCCAGCAGCTTGAAAAACGAGCTGGAAGCATGTATGTGTGTATCCGAAATCCCAAGAAGAGAAACTGAGAAAGGACTGTGGAGTTGCCATCCCCTCTCGAGAGTTCATTGGCTCTCTCTCTCCGTCAGTCCTTTTCTAACAAGTACATGCACCCTCTGGGGGAAAAAAAAACATTTTTAAAGAAAAAAACGGGGCCAGCAGGTGGCATGGTGGTTAAGGTGCTGGACTCCCACGTGACTGGCCACGGTTCAAACCCAGACCCAGTAGCTTGATCCATGCCGGCACGTGTGTAAGCACGCCCAGAATCCTGACGGGAGTAGAGGGGAATGGGCTGCACCATGGCCATCACCCCTGGGGGAGGATTTCTCATTTCCCTGTCTCTTGAGGTCACTCTGAGTGCACACGCCCTATGGCAAAAACCTAAACAAAGAAAGCCAGCCAGCCAGCCAGCCAGATCCCACAGAGCTGTCTGTGGTTCAGATCCTAGCCCCAGCAGCTTGAAAAACACGCCGGGCACATGTGCATGCCTGTCCTGAGTCCTCCTGGGACGAAGCAGTGGTGGAGGGGAACTGTGTGCGAGCACCACCCCCACCCCGGAAGCAAGCCTGGAGCCCTCCCTACAGCCTCGGGCATTGCCCGGCAGCAGAGGCCCTACTGCCCCGCCTCGCCAGGCTGAACCAACCTTAGATGGTTCTTTCAGACCCCAGGAAACTGGCCCGGCTGCAGGGGCACGAACAGGGTTCAGGTGCCTGGTGGCTGGAGCTGCCAGGGCCCCGGTTAGGTTCCTGCCAACTAAGCGAAGCTGGCAGCCTGTGGTCCTGCTGGCGAGCAGGAGAGCACACGGAAGAGACCCGGCGAGACGCCTGCTCGCCCGCACCGGTGCGCCAGGCCCCCGAGAGGCCCCCATACCTTCTCGCGGATCTCCAGGGCTCGTTTGCACAGTGGCTCTGCTTCTTTGTACTTCCCCCTTTTCCCATAGAGCACTGCAAGGTTGTTCAGAGTTGCCGCCACCTGCCGGCAGAGGGAGCTGCTGAGACCGGGACGGAAGACGGGAGGGCATGCACGCGTCCCGCTCCTTCTCAGGGTGTGCTGCTACTGTGAGCTCCGCTCAAAGGAAGAGCACTGTCCCTGCAGCAGAGTTACACAGTCACCCTGCAGGACCCCGGCACTGACCAATCAACATCAACAACAGGGCCTTGATTTTATTTCCCTGAAAGCCACACAGCCAACCAGGACGGATCTGGATGTGAATCTGCCCGATTTAATAAGAATATAAATTTTTGAGAAAAATTTAGAGAAGTACATGCGATGTGATTGAGGATCGGGTTACGCAGGTGCTGCGTCTGGGAGTGGTGCAGACCCTGGCCGCACTGCCCAGGCCAGCAGGGCCCTGCGCGGGCCTCCTACCTGCACCCTCTAGTGGACGGCAGCTCCTACCTCCCCTGTTGGGTTTAACATCACAGTGAGTTGGACAGAAGACGTGCCGGGAAACACACACAAACCACTAAAGAAGCACATGTACAAACCGCGGGGTGGTCTTTGCCCAGAGTCTTCTCACGGATGGCCAAGGCGTCGTTCAGGAGGTTCGCTGCGTCTTTGTACTTGTTCTGGTCCCTGAGTGACAGAGCACACGTAAGTGCTGCAGGTGTGGCCTCCTGTGCCTGCCGCAGTGCCGTGTGGGACCACAGGGGTAAGGGCGCTCCGGTTAGTGAGCCACTGGGAGATGGCCAGGAGACCCACCACTAACCGCGCTGGTGGGCCGGCCCCGTGGCCTAATGGTCAAGGCAGCCAGGCCCCAGGTGGCCACCCACAGCTTGAATTCCAGCCCTGGGGGCTTGAAAAACACCCCAGGCGTGTGCACACATGTCCACAATCCCGTCGAGACAGAAAAATGGAGAAGGGACCGTGACCACCCCAGGGTAGGGGCTTCTCCCCACACCCCACTCTACACCTCTGGCAAGTGTACGTGCCTTGTGGCAAATTTTAATAAAATAACAAATGGGGCCAGCAGGTGGAGTGGTGGTTAAGGACTCCCACATGGCCAACTGCAGTTCGAGTCTTGGGCCTGGTGGCTTGCTCTCTCACCTTCTCTCTCCCTCTGGTCAAATTTAAATGAATAAATAAATGGATGGATAAAGTTTACTGAGACAAATGCGCTGGCCAGCTGAGCTAGAATGGACCGGAGTCTGTGAGCCTGGCCCTCGCGTCCAGATCGCTGGACACAGGGTCGTGACGCTCCAGGGCTGTCGTGCACGTGCCACTGCCCCATGCAGAATAAGGAGAGGCCACCTAGGCCCACAGCAGAGTCTGCCGGCGTCACAGGAACTGACCCCGCCAGTCACTGTCTGTGTAAGTCCTGGCTACGCCAGGCCACTTCCCCAAGTCCCAGCCTCCCTCCCTACAGAGCAAGTGCACCACCTAACTCCGGGTGGCTGCAAGGGCTACGTAAGGTAACGTGTGCTGTGTGCTGCAGAAGGCGTTTCAAACCCGAGTGAGGACCAGCTGGGAGCATGACGGGTAAGGCCGCTGGAGCCCACACGGGCGACTGCGGTTTGAGTCCTGAACCTCTCAGCTTGAGAGACACATGGGGAACATGTGCGTGTGCCCAAAATCCTGAGAGGAGACTGGAGAAGGGACTACAGCGTGGCCATCCCCTAGGGGTGCTTTCTAACTTTCTCTCCCACTGTCTCTGGCAAGCATACCTACACTACTGCAAATTACAAAAAAACAACAAAAAAAACAACAACTGGGTGGGACCAGCAGGTGGCGTGGTGGTTAAGGTGCTGGACACTCCCACATTGCTGACCACGGTTCGAGTCCCGGACCTGGCAGCTTGCTTTCTCATTCTCTCTCTCTCTGGTCAAGTTAAAATAAATGAATGAATAAATAAAATTAAAAAATTAAAAAAAAAAAAAATCTGGGACAAAACTTCCCAAGACGTCCATCTGTACAATATTATAGCCAGATAAAAAGCTGAATAAAGTGTACCTTCTTACGAGCATGGTACGTGAGCTGCCGCCCAGCTAGAGGACGGAAAGTGGAATGACTACACACAGCTACTGGGGCTGGCAGGTGGCGCGGTAACTGAGGGCAGTGGACTCCCTCGTGGCCGACCGCAGTCCAAGTCTCGGACCTGGCGCTTGCTTTCTCACTTCCCCTCTCTCTCTCATTCTATCCCTCTCTGGTCAAAATTAAAAATAAGTAAATGAATGAAGTTAAAATAATTCTTTAAAATCCACTACACGTAGCTACTCGGGGTCGCAGGTGCTGGGTCCGTGTTGGTGACAAGTGTGCCCGGGGAGAGCCGCTGGGAAGCTGAGGACGACTTGCCTGTACACCAGGGCCAGGATGTTGAGCATGGTGGCCACGTCCGGGTGGTCATGCCCCGAAGTCTTCTCCAGGTCCTCCAGGGCCTGCTTGCAGAGGGGCACGGCCACCTCGTAGCGCCCCTGCGAGGCGTACTGGATCACCAGGTTGTGCAGCGTGCGCAGGCGTGCTGGGATCTCGTAGCCGCCCTGCTGGGCCGCGGCCGCCGCACTGCTGTGCTGCTGCTGGACTGTAGGAGAGGGGCTGGTCGGCTCTGGGCCGCGCCCACACCGCCCCAGCCCCCAGCCCCAGCCCCTAGGCAAGCAGCTGATAGCGGCAATGCGACAGGATGGCGGGGTACCACTGGCACAAGAAGGGCCAGTAAAAGGACTGCGGGCCTCTTCCCGAAGAAACCACAGACCCCATCAAACGAAGCTGGCTTCAGGCCGGCCCATGCCCACTGGAGTCCCTGCCATCACCAGCGGATATGCGCGCCCACCCCGGGATGGAGGAGAGGGAGGGGCTGCAGAGTGACCACGCTCCACGGGGTGCTGCGCCCTTCACCCTCTCTCCTTCTCTGACAGGCACATGCACCCTCTGACATTATTAATTAATACAACTTTTAAAAACCAAAAGTGTCTTAAATTCTTCCAGGAAAAGCAGGCATGCTGCCGAGCTGTGCCTGCAGGCGGCGCACGCTGTCCCCCTCCACACGGGGTCACTCACTGCCCTGGCCCGGCTCGTCCTCGTCATTGGGGAACAGGTCGTCCAGAGGCTCTTTGTTGGAGTCGGTGTCTCTGTCCTCCTACAAAGAGACGTGGGGCAGGCTTCACTCGTGGCACCGGAGGCCAGGACAGAAACTCGCCTTACAGAGCCCCAAGAAGAGGCAGCAGAGCAGGTCGCCCACCATCGCGCTCACCCCACTTAAGGAGGCTCGCACGACTAGGCTCGGCGCAGACCAGGACCACAGTTCAGAGCCCGGGGTGTCCGCCATGTGGGGTGCTCAGTCCGAGGGGACCGGAAAACCCCACTCGGAACCCGAACTGTAGGAGCAGACTGCCCTGTGCAGCTCTGCGCCCCCACAGGCCGGGGCATGGGACCACCCTCTGAAAATCTCCCTACGGATGGCTGAAGAGACGGCAGAGACAGGGACGAGGCGGTCTAAGCGGTCGGGACCCTGACCAGGAAAGAAACCAGGGCGTCTGGGAAAAGGAGTGCTGCTGATTCTGGAGGGACCACCTGGTAAGCAGGCACAGCTCCCAGAGGCCGGCTGAGCTGCACCGCCTGAACACGGGGCCCCGCCGGGGTGGCCTGCAGGAAATGTGTGTTCTCCGAGACACTGACCTCGTGAAAGACAGACAAGGGCTGGGACTGTCAGCGGAGGGTGACCAGAGACGGCCAGCTACTTTACTATATGCGTTTGTATGCAGAACTGCATGGTGACTTTTCCGAGACGTGGGATGTGGAGCACGCAGTCCTGACCCAGGCCCTGGACTGGAGTAAAAGAGGCTGCCACAGGGGCCGGCAAGTGGATGGTGGTTAAAGGTGCTGGACTCCCACATGGCCGACACGGTTCAAGTCTCAGAACTGGTGGCTTGCTTTCTCACTTCCTCTTTCTCTCTCTGCCTATCTCTGATCAAACTGGAAAATAATAATGATAATAATAAATAAAAGTTAAATAAAATATTTCTTAAAATAAAAAGAAAATGAAAAGAATTAAAACTTAAGTCATGCTATTCAACAATATGTTCAACTAAAATTATGCCCTGTGTGTGTGTGTGTGTGTGTGT